GGGGGGGGGGGGGGGGGGGGGGGGGGGGGGGGGGGGGGGGGGGGGGGGGGGTGCGGAGAAAAGAGGGGGAAAATGTCTTGTCGAGGTTATACTAGACATATCTATATTAGATAGATAATTTAAAGAATATCACGCTTGCGCAGAAATTTTCAGGATAAGAAATCATTATATTCCCATCGTTATGTAGTAAAGTAACAGTATACCTCAAGAGACGAAGGCGTACCTGCTATGTAAAACATAATCATTAGATTTACAATAAGGCATACTTATCATTAATTTTCTTATCAGACTCGCTATGTACCCCAGTAATATATTGGTAAAAATAAGTCATACTACAAAATGTAGGCTGCTGGCGTACGCCCGCCAGTCTAAAAAAAAAATTACCCAGTTATTGTTAAATGATGGAGGATTGTTAGTAAAAACTATAAAACAAACAAATTTAGCCTACAAGCGGTCAAGCGAGGTATAAAAAAAACAAAAAGGCCAGTAAAGTGAGGGCCTGCTGTGTTAACACAGCAGTGGTGATAAATACAAAAAAAACAAAATTAGAGGAAGGACCATTACCACCAAGTTGATTTATATATATAAATATATATAAAAAATTATTTTATTATAAAGGGTTTTGTGCAAATAATATACGATGTCCAGCCCTCAGATAGAGCAGTAAGCGAATTAGAGTAGAAAACCCAGACGATGGTTGTCTTATTTTTTCAAAAAAAATATATATATTTTTTTTTGAAAAAAGGTAAACTAATAAACATAATAAACCCACAGCTAATAAAGCTGTTCCAAGAGTGGTCGAACATGCACAAAAAGATCATAATAAGACTTTAGCTCAACAACTAAGTTGATCGGATTTTTTTTTATCCATCCATATAAAAATAAACTTATAAAAGTTTTAATGGCAGGATTATTAAACATATTGATAGATATATTTAGGGAGTTGAAAAAATCGTTATTAGTAATTAAGTATCATCATGTTGTCTTATTTTTTTTAAAAAAAAATATATATTTTTTTTTGAAAAAAGGTAAACTAATAAACGTCATAAACCTACAGCGAATAAAGCTGTTCCTAGAGTGGTCGAACATGTAAAAAAAGGTAATAATAAGGCTTTTAAGTTTATCTCAACAACTTACGTTGTTGGTAGGGCTATTTTATACATATAAAAATAAACTTATAAAAGGTTTAATGGCAGGATTCTTCAGCAGATCTAAAAATATATTTAGGAGAGACGTTAGCTCTGCGAGTATTTGAACTATATATTATATGGGTGGACACTTATTTATAATTTTTAGAGGCCCGCTAAAGCTAACGGGTCTCATTTGTATTCTGTATCTGAGTAAGGGGTCACTCACTTTCTCTGCGCAAGCGGTCCCCCTATATTTTTTTTTATTATTTTTATAACCCCTTGGCCTGGCGCCATGTACCAGCAGTTGAGGCATAAAAATAATAAAAAAAATATAACTGACCGCTTGCTGTGTTTTTTTTTGTTATTTTATGTAATAAAATAACAAAAAAAAACAAAAGGGGGCGAGGTAGAAGACCCCATGAGGTTCGTCTCTTTCTCTTTACTACTGGGTTAATACTCTCTTAGTTTGGATTACCTACTTCTGGTTTAATACCACCTTAATTTGGATTACCTACTTAGGGGTTAGGAATATTATATACATCAAAACCTAAGATCATTCTACTAAATCGCATAATAGAGGTGTATTCATAATTTATTT